TGCACTGCACTGCACTGCACTGCACTGCACTGCACAGTACAGTATTCCAGGTGCGCGCTTTAAGAAGGGCACAGGCCACACCCCCTAAGGATTACCTGTGAGGAAGCACAATTAAGGAAACAGGCGGCAGCTGGCTGCAATTAAATAATGCAGCAGGGCCGTCACAACATAAAGAAATGTACAAAAATAAAAGCCTTAATCGTCCCATTGAAGCCGAGCGTTTAATGTGCATTTTCCCACGTTAGCGACAGTTCTTCTTCTTCTTTTTTTTTTCCAACTCCGTTGATTTGGACTCGCTGATAAAACGAAGGCTGATTGGCAGCAGTATAGGTTGTGTGTTTGTAACTATATTTAGTTAATAAATAAGTGTTGCAGGAACATTTTATTGAGCATTAATGTTAGTTACTTTGGCTTTAGAAAATTAAGGCCGATAATTTAAGACTTGAAAACAATAATTTAGCGAATTTTAGACTTTTTAAGGCCTAAAATTTGGATTTTCATATTTTAGACTCACAGAAACCCTGAAAATCACTTTAGTTGTTTTGAAATCAATGAGGTGATTATTAGGATTCATCTTTGATGCATCATATAGATTAGATTCTTTTCAGGGAAATTTTTTTTATCAGATTAAACATCATCTCTATTTCAATTCAATTCAGTTTATTGATATAGCGCCAAGTCACAACTGTTGTCTCAGGGCACTGAGCACAAAAGTAAATCAATAAATAAATCTAAAGAAGCCAGCAGACTGCGCCAAATCTTTGCTTTGTCACAAATTTCGTTAGTTATTTCACTCCTTAAGTGCTGTTTAAGCATTTGCCTTAAATAGAATTAAATGTATTTTATTAAAAACATGGTTAATCTAAAATATTAGAGCTTTTGAAATATTTCACATTTTGCAGAAAATTCTCAAAAATCAAGTGAGTAACGAAGGTTAAAGCAACATTTTTTGTGTGTTTTAAGGAAAAACCTGCCTTCACAGTGATGTATTTTGTGCAGGAGGTCACTCCGATGGAGGAGTCGTCGAGCACTGAGAGGAAAGAGGAGCAGAGGAGGCGCTGGCTGCAGGAGCTGGACCGTCAGAAAGAGGAGGCGGCTCAGCGCAGGAAACAAGAGAAGCTCCTGAAGAGCCAGGTGCTGTGAGGGTGCAGCAGGAACCAGGTGGTTTGTCGAGGCACCTGTAACGTTAAGCCCCTCCCCCTCTCTCCCCGCCCAACAGCCAGAAGACCACGAGCGCTGGGCCGCGCACTTCGACTCGCACCAGAGGAGCCGTCTGGTCCGGACTCCGGCCGCCTCGGCTCCGCCTCCAGGCCGGCTCGACGGCTCCGAGCGAGGGGACTGGGACCCCTCGTCCAGCTTGTCCCTGGCCTGGGAGGCCAGCAGCTGCGGGGGTGCGGAGAGCGTCCTCGGAGCCAGGGGGGGCTCCACCAGCGGCTGCCCCACCAGAACCAGGTTTGAAACAAGCATCAAGCCATCAAAGCAACAAGCAAACAATCATTGGGCCTCATGCAAGAACCGTTCGTACGCACAGATTTGTTCTTAAATTGTGCGTACGAGTTTTAGGAGAATTTGTGGCATTCACCAATGTTTTCGTATTCTACGATTTTTTTCAGATACGAACAAAATTTACGAGTGGTCCAGACCCGTCGTATATTTTACGAACAGTCAGTCTGCTGTTATCCAGATGGGTTTTCTTCATTAATAACTTTATATTTCGTTAGTTTGAAGATATTTTGAGTTGAAAATAAATCACACTCCATAATTATGTTGACAATAGGCTATTCTGCTTGAATTAGAGTTATAATTTTAAATGTAATAATTTAGACTAACTATAAATTGTCCGGCCGGCCGGCTTATCCGCTATTGGGTGCGGCGGGGGATGGGGGGGGGGGCGCAACAGGAGAAAGACCCCGCGCGCTCCGCAGCGACACTTTCCAGCTCGWCCGAGACGTTCCCAGACCAGAGGGGATACATAATCCCTCCAGTGAGTCCTTGATTTTCTCCAAAGTGCCAGACTTATTTTGAAAACATTTTAAAATGCTTATTTCAAACCCGCATCTGAGACCACCGCAGCGCGGGGGGGGGTGCACAGCGCTGCGGCTTCTGAATAAATAAAAATGATTTAACCCAGTTGTTTATACTTTTAGCAGCTCTTTTTATGCCACAGCTGAGCTGCTAAACATGTCAGATTTTCTTTTCTGGATCTCTGACAGACGGACTTCAATCTCTGAACGCGTAAAGTTTTTATTTTTTCAGTTTTCGCTGTAATTTTCATGAATGAATGAACACTTCCTTGTATCTGAGGCATAGCCTTATATGGTGTTTTTGGGGTGGTAATTATGCTAATCTCCTCTCGCGTGCACGAGCAGCTGGATAGAAAAGGTGTAAATTACGCAGCTCATTTACGCACGTTTCCTGAAGATAGAAGTGTTTGTTGAATCTGACGTGACATGTTCGTACGAACCCTTTGTACGAACAAAAGTAAGAGAAATTTAGGAGAAGAATACGAACATGTTCTTGCATGAGGCCCATTGTGTCTCTGTTCCTCACTCAGCTACCTGAGGACCATGACCTCCCTGCTGGACCCCGCCCAGGTGGAGGAGAGGGAGAGGAGGAGGCTCAAACAGCTGGAGCAGCAGGTAGGAGGCGCCGCCGCCGACAGCAAACACAAAACGTCCTCTCTCTGGTTCTCCCCTCACTCGGTCTCCTCCCCCATGTCAGAGGGCAATCGAGGCCCAGATGGAGGAGCGCCGGAGGCACAGGGAGCAGGAGGAGGCGAAGAAGAGACGGGAGGAAGAGGAGGAGGAGAAGAGGGTGGCCCAGGAAAGGGAGAAGCTGCAGAAAGTTTACGATTTGGAAACACAGAGGAGGAAACAGAAGGTCTGCAGCAGCGAGGACTCACAGAAACACTCGATGTTTAATCAAAGCCGATTTTTATGGTTAATTGTGTTTGTTCAGGAGGAGGTGGTCCACCAGGAGGAGGTGGTCCACCAGGAGGCTCACTGTAATGGCAGACTGGAGGAGACCTCCAGAGAGTCGAGGGATTTGGAGACCACCAGCAGCTCCACCTCCTCGTTCAAAGACARGGCTGTTCAAACAGGTACTACAGAAAGGGTCCCACACCTTGGTCAACAGCAAATTCAAGGACCTTTCAAGGACTTTCCAGTACCAATTTCCTCATTCATGAACCACACGTGACGACAGTTACCTGCCTCTACCACAGGATGTTTCCAATAAACAGGTTTAACATGTAAATTCAATGAAAAACTGAACATAGAAGCTGTTGAGTCAGAATCAATGAAAGAAAGTGGATTAAATGTTTACCCTACTTTCATATCTAAAATACATGAACATGTAATTATGTCCTGGGGAGTTCAGCAGCTCAGTTTGGGAGGAGGAGATGTGAACAGGTTCAGACCCTCGGTGAGGACAGGCGGAGCTGTGGTGCTCTCACCTGGGCTCAGAAAGACCCGCCCTGCTCTGCTCTGATTGGACTAAGACTATGGCTCACGTTATTTGTTGAAAGCCACGTCAGTTTACAGTAATCCTGAGTTATCCACTGCAACAAATCTAAGTTTTATTTTATTTTATCATGATTATTTTTTTTTTACAGATGATGAAAATCAGTCAGAATAGAAAATTTCAATCCCCATCAAAAATTCAAGGACTTTCAAGGACAAGTGTAAATTTTGGCTGTTTTCACAAACTTTCCAGCGCCTTGAAATCATTTTTTCAAATTCACAAACTTTCAAGGATTTCAAGGACCCGTGGGAACCCTGTATACAAATACTCTACAGATACTATAGTACTGATGTTTCTGCTGTGAGGAAAACCTTCATGCTTCTGTTTCATCTCTCTGAGCAGACGAGGCTCCTCCTGTCGTCCTTCAGAGTTCAGACGCTGCCCTCCCTCCTCCTCCTCCTCCTCCTCCTCGGTCTGCTGCTCCCTCCACCAGGAGTCGGGCGGTGCGAACGGGGAAGGAGAACGTCTGTTTGCCAGTAGGAGACCCGTACGAGCCATTTGCCAGGACTGAGAGGAGCCGCAGAGACAAGAGGAGGCCGGAGTGGAACACGCACAGGTCCGAACGTTCAGCTGATGAAACCGAACTGAAGTGATGACCGTGAAGTATTTTTACTGACGTCTCCGCCGTGCCTCCAGGCCCAGCCGCCAGTTCGTTCCAGCCTCGGAGCGTTACCCCGTCGCTCTGCAGAGGAACCGGCAGGAGAACCGCCTGAGGAGGCAAGCCGAGCTCCTCGCTCTGCAGGAGAGAACCCGCCAGACCAGAACCGAAGCTCCTCCTCAGAACCAAGAGCCCCGCCTCGGTCCCAGCAGCCAGAGCGCCGGTTCAGTCAGGAAGGTAAGAAAACGTCTGATCCTACCGTGTTCTGTCTGGCAACATGAAACTCAGAACTGATGTCTGAGTCCAAATAAAGCCCAACAGTTTAAGTGCAGCATAACGACTTTTCACCATGATGCTCCACTTGATAAATATTAAAACCCTTATTATAAATTCTTTAGGGATTAATTCGTAATGGACACAGAGACGATAAAAGTAAACAAAGAAGAGAAAAAGGAGAAAAGTGAAAAGAGATAGAAAGGGAAACAAGAAGATAAGAGAGAGATGCATTAAGAAAAAACAAGATCCTTTTAATCCGAGTCAGATTTTATTTCCTGTTCCTGTTTCAGGTGGAAATGGGTTCTAAAGGGATCAGCGACCCCCCAGCCAGGGGCCGCTCCCCTCCTGTACCCGCCATCAAACATGAAGTCCAGAGCCAGCAGGCTTCCCGCTCCTCTTCTCCGGTTCTGGAGTTCGTTCCCTACATCCGGACCAACGAGGTCTTCAACCTGAACCCCCTGGATCCAGCTGACACGKCCCCCCCTCACACACACTCCGGTCAGAACGCCTCAAACTGAAACGTCTTTTGAATTTGTATCTGTTGCGTATCGGACCTTTAAACTCATGGGTTTTTCATCCGTTCGGTTTCTTTCTCCCGGTCAGGCGCTCCGCCCGACAGTACGGCGTCTCCTCCCGCTCCTGCGCACCGAGACCGGCTCCTCCACCACACGCACACACACCGGCAGCAGGAGATCCTGAGAGGCCTGGCTCAGCTTCGACAGGTAACACACACACACACGTTTGTTTTTGGATCCCTGTGGGGACCCTGTATTGACTCCCACTCATTTTCTGGTAATTTTTATATCCTAACCCTGAACATTTACCTGAAAACTAAACCTCACAGGTCCTAATGTGGTTCCCACGATGTAGTAAAAACATGCCCACACACACGTCTACACACCTGTCTGTATTCCCCAGGGTTTGTTACAGAAGCAGAAGGAGCTGGAGATGGATCTGAATCCTCTCTGGAGTCGCCACGACGAGCAACAGCTACCTTCGATGAAACGCAACAAAACATGACCTCCGGCCGCCGCCGACACGGATCAGCTGATCGGACAGGAAAACATTTGAAAACATCGTGAGGAAGACGAGGGTTTATGGATCGTCTGCAAACCATGAAATCAGTAAAATCAGGCTCTAATATTCAGTAAAATCAAAAACAATTTTTTTTTAGCAAAACCACATCAGATATTTCAGAATCAGACATTATTTAATTCCAACAATTGATTCATATAAATTAAATTACCGTATTTATTCATGTATAAAAATCTGTGTATAAACCCCCCACCCCCCAACACACACACACACACACACACACACTTTATAGATGACTCTGGTAAATTTCTAGCATTATACATGAATAAATACAATAATCACTGGTTTTCTGAACCCGTCTGAGCTAAAATCCTTCGTGTTCAAATAATCGACTTGAATAAATTATGAATTAAATGTTTGTTTTTTTTGTTTATTGTTTTTTATTTATTGTGACTTCAATAAATGATGTGCAGTTCACAGACGGTTTTTTAGAGTCATTTTATTACAAAACGCTGATGTAAAAAAACAAACAAAAAAAAAACATAAAAATGTATATAAGTTAAAAACCGGTTCATTGCAGTTTTTCTACACGACTGAACACAAACAGCAGAACCGAACTTTCAGGACACAGGAGGACTTTTTACAGGTGTCCCTGAGAGACGGCGTCCATCAGATTATTTTACAGTTTTACTTTCTACAAACGAGCGGCTCAGGTTTCATCTTTTGTTTCATCTCTTGTACGACTCTGTGGAGTGAAACAAAAATTATATATATATTTTTATGTTTGTCAGTCAGGAGAAGCAGAAATGTGGCGGTTTGACCCAGAAACCCTGGAGCTCAAGTCTCGGGTCCGAGCAGGTCCTGACCTCATCAGAACCACATCTTCTGATGCGTTCAGATCTTTTAAAGTAGGATTCTGAAAGATTACCAACAGTTACTATCTTACCTGCTGCAGAACATTCTTTGGCAGAGATACTGGGACAGGAAGTGCTACAGCTAGCTGCTGGCGCTATTAGAACCTGCATTAAACTGGTGATTTTAACCGTAACAGTAAGTTTATAAAAGAGAGTTTGAAATGTTAAATTTTAGGGATGAAAGTTTCTATAACAGGTAAATCCACTTTAAAAGAGCTGAACAGGTATTAAATCAGGTTAAATACCTGCAGTTTTTTATTTCATACATGTTGGATCGTCTCAGTCGCTCACTAATCTGCTGAAACCTTTAAAAAAAAGAGAGGTTGAGCCGGTGTTGCTCTGCGGCATCAAATATTAAAAACAATCAGCTGATCATCAACATAAAAGATGGATTATTGAGTCATTTTCTGGTTAGTCTTCAGTATTTGAGTTAAATGASAACTGGGGACCAGTTAAACACATCCACACTTTGTGATGGTTCTTCACATAAACAGAACTAACAAATAAAAACTGATCTGAAGGAAAACTGGAGCTCTGCTGACAGCTTGTTCTGCTCCGATTGTTCGTGTTAAAGAAGAAACTTCAGCAGCTCGTTCACAAAGTGACGGTTAATTAAAAAAAAAAACAACAACAGCAGCACCACGGAGCAGAACCTCAGTGACGTTAATGCTTTCTTCATGTGTGCTTGTTTTATTTATTTTATGTTATTTAATTTGTCTCTGCTCCTGTTTCCTGAAAGAACCTCCGGATCAGAACCAGGATCTCGTTAATTAACGAACCGGACAGTTTCAGGTTTTAGTTTTCCCTCTGTGCTCAGGTGAGAGTTCTGTTTGTTTACCTGAGCAGCAGCGGGGGAGGGGAGGGGGGGTCCCTACATCCTGCTAAAACCTCCTCCTGGTCGGGCTCCTCTGTAGGCGGGACCGCCCGGACCAGCTGGACCGTAGAATCCTCTCAGGAAGTCCACACCGGTCTGCTGGTAGCCCCAGAGCAGGGGGGCGCCGGCGGGGGGGATCCCTCCGGGCCAGAGATGGGTGGGCCCCATGATGTTTCTGATGCCTCTCAGGGGTCCGATCGGCCCCAGCAGGGGGCCCGGGTGGAACCGCTGGTTGTGGAGCGGGGCCATGTGGGGAGGGTGCAGCAGGCCCACCCCGCGCGGATGGGGCTGGTTTACAGCTTGGAAAGCCRGGGCCGGGTTCAGGTTTTGTTTGCGGTCCACCACTGGGATCCTGACGACGGCTGTGCTGCTCTGTGGGACTCCTGGCTGCTCCTGGTCCACCTGCTGGTCTCTGCAGGACAGGAAACGAGTCACGTGACGCGCAGCTCCATGGGACTTTGGTTTTATCACGTCTCAAAGAACCACAGAAATAAACACATTCAAGACTTTAAGAAACCAGGAAGAGTTTGACTGACCTGGACCTGTCCTCGTCTCTGGACCTGTCCTCGTCTCTGGACCTGTCCTCAGCTCTGGACCTGTCCTGCTCAGCTGCTGTCAGACTTGCGGGTTCTCCTTGTTGATATGGTTTTCCCTCGGTCTCATCTCTYTTAGGTTCTGCAGCTGGGTTTGGTGAGGGCACAGAGGAGTCGGGGTTACTGGAAGTCCAGCTCCCCGTCTGTGACCCCCCCTCTGTGGGAGACGGGGGTCTGTCCTCCTGCCTCAGTTCCAGCTGCAGCGGGGAGTGGATGGACTCCAGGGTGGCCGTCACCGCTCTCATGGCGGGCGAGACCCGGACGTGCTCTGCGGGTCCCTCGTGGTCCAGAGGCGGGGTGGTGGTGGCAGCAGGAGGGGGGTCAGAATTGAGGCTGGACTCTAACTGGACCTCCAGGATCTGCTGTTCCTGTATGAGCTGCTGCAGCTGCTCCGGCTGCTGTGCCCTCATCAGCTGGATGGCCTGATACAGGAACTCCATTTCTCTGCTGGTGGTCGGGGACAGGGAGTCCGGGACCAGCTGGTCCGACGCCTGGGGGACAGAGGGCGGGGTGGAGGGGGGCTGGGGGAGGACGTCCTGGGGCTGGCTGGAGGAGGGGAGGGCGTCGACGTTCTCTGGGAAGGTGGAGAGASAGAGATCAAAGCCGGTGATGGCGTCCTGATGGTTCACCTGCCCGCTGAGACCTGAGAACGGACCAGACGGATGAGACAACGAGACGTCGATAAATAAGGACGTATAAAAAACAACCGTTTCAAACGGTCAGGTCTGACCTTTGGGAGCGAGCAGATCCTCCACCAGTAACTGCTTGTCCCTGATGTCGTGGCACCCMACCAGTCCGGTGAAGTTCTGCAGAACCTCTTCAACGCTGGCCACGATGATGCCCCCGTTGGAGAAGGAGGGAAACTTCTCAAAGTGGTGTTCTGAGGTAAAACATTCAAAGTGACAACGAGAACGACGTCAACCACAAACAACAAACCCATGTGACAGCAGCCGTACACACAGAGTAGACACCTTCAAGGTAAAGTTTCAAACTTTTCCAGCATCAAACTTCAGATCCGTGTCCTAACCACCGTCAACAACCTAAAATACTCTCCAAGTGAAATCAATTCTGACACTTTTAGTTATTAAAGTGCCTGCGTCATCAAATGTTTGCAATAAATTTAATGTAATTTTGAAAGATAACATTGTTAACATATTGTAAAAAAGATTTCACGCCGCTGAGATGAACAGTTGTTGAGATATTTGCATGTGAAGTAACAGGAAGTGATGTCACAGGGGAATGTTTAAATGTGAACAGAGCGATGCTAAAATGGCTAACAGCACAGACTGAAGATGAATCTGATGTTTCTTTAGATTATTTTAATCACCATCATAGAGAGATGAGAAGAGTCAGAGTTCAAATAATATTGTTTAAATAAACAAAAAAACAGGAAGTTTTCTTTCTCAACGAGTTCCCCTTTGATGTTGCTTCCTGTTTCACTTTACCTGGGCCAAATTSAAAAGAAAATATGCCAWTTATGTGACATAAAAGGTAAAATCATGTGTATTATGCTAAGTTTTTTTCAATATAAATATATTTCCTTTGACTTTTTGTGTTTCATGAATATGCATGTCACAGGCACTTTAATATCTGACCCACGCTGGGGGCTTGTGTGCTCTGATGCAGTTTACTTGGCATCTGAAAATACTTTTCCTCAAAAGGAATTTTCAATCTGAAAAGAGTGAAAAGAAACTGAGTGAGAACTAATGTTGAGAGCTCGTTAGGTTTCGCTTTCGGTTTTTCACCCGAAAGCCTGCAGGAGTCATGGGCGGGGGAGTGGGTGCGCTCTGCCATGAGGAAGTTCAGCTTAAAGACACGTCCCGGGGGCGTTTCTGGTCCCCACCTGRTGTTTTGCTCCTCAGCATGGCTTCATAAAAACGCTGCAGGATTTCTCAAACATGCATGAATGAGTCAAAGCAAGGCTTTGGGCATGTTTTTTATGAGGATAGCCCCCCYTAATAACCCTGCACATCTTAAAGTAGTTCTGGCTGTAATTAATTAAAGAACCCTCAGTAAAATGACTTCCTGAAGTTAAAACCTGTTATTGGACGCGGATGAGTCGTACCTGTGATGTAGATGGTGTGTCTGAACTGTGTGTATCGGGCCTGGAGCTCCAGGAGACAGTTCAGGTCAGGAGACTGGTGGTTGGTCGAGTCACAGTGGTGATACGGGAGGAACTCCACGATCTGACGCTTCTGATAGGTCGACAGAATTTCCAGCAGGTTGGCTGCGTCTTTTCTGAACCTGAACACACGAGACAACACGTTCATGAAGCTGCTGAAGGAACCTGGACTTTACTAAYAACTAAGTTCATAGGCGTGACTGGGAGGGACTCTACCTGGCCTGCTCCTTCAGTTTCTTCTGGGTTTTGCAGTGGATCTTCCACCTCCAGACGCTCTCTGGAGAACTGTGCTGCTCCAGGAGAGCCAGCAAAGCGGCGAGTCGGTCTGCGGGAACAACGTGACGTGAGCGARACGATTTGTCCTGGAAACATTTTAAATCTGAGCGTTTGGATTTATAACCCCGACGTACCGTCAGTGATGACGTCCGGACTGAGGACCAACTCGTCCGAGACGATGCAGCCTCCGGAGACCAAGAGCTCGATGCAGCTGTTGTTCTTGATGTCGTCCAGCGAGTCGATGCCCACGAACACCACAGAGGGGTGTCTCTTCAACGACATGAGGCCTGGGATCTGACAGGAACGGAYGCGCCATGTGAAAAACAGTCAATTTGTCGATTAGGCCTTTAAAAAGGTCCAGTTCCAGGTAAATACCTTGTGTATATGTCCTGCCGTGTCTTTGTTCTTAATGATCACCAGCAGACCATTTTCTGAGTTTTCGTTGTGAAGAAAGTCGACGGGACTCTGCTGCACGTTACCCAGCTTCAACAGATGTTCCTGGAAAACAACAAAGTCAGGAAAATAAGATTGAGGTGTTGAAGTGCCTGTGACATCAAAAATTTTTAATTATACAAATGTGTTTTTGGAAAGATTATTGAGAACATATTACAAAATAATTTTCATGCTGCTGAGATGAACAGTTGTTGAGATTTTTGCCTGTGAAGAAACAGGAAGTGATGTCAAAGGGGAATGTCTGCACGAAAACAGAGTGAAGATAAAATGCTCAACAGCCCAGACTGTAGAGAGGAATCTGATGTTTTAGATTATTTCGAGTCGCTATCAGACAGAAACAGAAAAAGAGTCAGAGTTCAAATCATAATGTTTCAATAAACAAAGACCAGTGAGTTATTTTTCTTAAAAGGAGTCCCCTTTGATGTCACTTCCTGTTCCATTTTTTCCAAGCCAAGTTCAAAGGAAAATAGGTCAGTTATGTGTCTAAATGGGTAAAATAATGTGTGGTGTGCCAAGNCTGCTGCACGTTACCCAGCTTCAACAGATGTTCCTGGAAAACAACAAAGTCAGGAAAATAAGATTGAGGTGTTGAAGTGCCTGTGACATCAAAATTTTTTAATTATACAAATGTGTTTTTGGAAAGATTATTGAGAACATATTACAAAAAAATTTTCATGCTGCTGAGATGAACAGTTGTTGAGATTTTTGCCTGTGAAGAAACAGGAAGTGATGTCAAAGGGGAATGTCTGCATGAAAACAGAGTGAAGATAAAATGCTCAACAGCCCAGACTGTAGAGAGGAATCTGATGTTTTAGATTTTTTTGAGTCGCTATCAGACAGAAACAGAAAAAGAGTCAGAGTTCAAATCATAATGTTTCTATAAACAAAGACCAGTGAGTTATTTTTCTTAAAGGAGTCCCCTTTGATGTCACTTCCTGTTTCATTTTTCCCAAGCCAAGTTCAAAGGAAAATAGGTCAGTTATGTGTCTAAATGGGTAAAATAATGTGTGGTGTGCCAAGTTTCTTAAATAGACTGAAGTTTTCTTTGACTTTTTGTATCTGAAGGATAAGCAGGCACTTTAAGGCTCAGGCCAAGGATACAAACGTCTTTTCCACYCTCATCTCGTTACCTTGACCTCCTCGTACACCGGGTCTCCCAGCTCTGTGCAGTGGACGTAGAACTGCGGGGACTTCCTCTTGATGTCTTTGGCGATCTCCACCAGGTTGTTGAGCACGTCCGGGTTCAGCTGGTTGATGACGGAGCTCAGGTGTTTGGTGGCTTCTGAGCCGGCGTCCTGGACCAGGGCGGAGCTCGGGCTGGAGACGGGCTCGTAGGACAGGGATGGCTCAGTCTGGGCGTTTGAGGCGCTGCTATAGCCCGGGACTGTCACAATGCAGTTTGAGCCTAATAGGGCCTCTTCGTCGGCCGGGCAGACCACAGTTCTCGTCACGGCYTCCTCTTCTGTCACGTTCTGAGTGATGGTCCTGCAGATCTCTAAGGTGTCTTCAGGTTTGTAGGTGACAAACCCGGAGTTTGGGTCAGACGTAGACSTTTGTGGAGACAGAGGGGTCCAGTGTGGATTGTCCGGCTGCCAGACTTCGCCCACTCTGGAGAAGACGGACGCCTGAGTGATGGGTGATTCAGCACCAGCAGCCGGCTGAAACACCTCCCYGCTCCTTCCACGTTGAGAACTCTCCACTCTGGAGCTGGCCACGAAGTCGTTGATCCTCTGAGCCAGCGTCTCTTCCATGTCCGCCCTGCTGCTGTCGGCCTGCTGCTTGGGCGAGCTCACGTTCAGCTCTCCCAGCACGCATTTGATGCTCTCCTTCAGAGACGTGACGTAGTCCTGAACCGGAGGACAGGGGTTGTAAAACGACACGAAATGTGAGAACGGAGACAGCGTGGCGTACGGCGGGGCGGCGTTCTCCYTGTTCGCGGAGGAGCGAGGGGTCTGGGGGAAGCTGAAGCTCCCTCTCTCCTCCTGCAGGAGGAGTTGCACGTCGGAGGTGAAGTCTCCCAAATGTTTGTCCACGATGCTGTCGATGTCTCCGAGAGGACAGGCGGTGGTCGAGGACACTTCTTCTTTTTGCTGTTCATTGACGAAATCTATCAACATTTCCTCCTCCTTCGGCTCCACCTTTAGCTGCCGACACAAACCAGGCTCTATTTTCAGTTGAACCCGCTCTGCTGCTTCCTCTGACTCCATCATCTGGTCAGAGGGTGGCGGTGAAGGAGCGTTCCTCAGCTCCGGAGCTGGACCACCTGATGGCTCCTCCTTGATTTTGATCCATTGAGGCTTTGTTTCGAACCCTCCTGCAGGAGACGAACGTCAGACATTAGAATAATAAAAATCAGATGTTGTTGCTGAGACAACAGATCTGTCAGCGGCTGTTTCCAAAACCCGGATTATAAAAGTTGTTTATTSAGATCAGTTTTTCTTCCGTATGTTTTTTTGGCAAGTATTTTAACAATTCATGTATCAAATGCTTCAGATCCTTCAGCACATTCTGGTGATGACTGTGGTATTTCAGCTATTTATATTTCTTTACCTATTTCACTTTTTCAGCTACATTTTTCCCCCATTAAAATGAATGGAGCTGTTTTCAACACCTTTAAGATCCTTTAAAATGTTTCTAAATCGTTACTGCACCTTAAACCTTTTGTTCTTTTTAACTTCCTTGTGCTAATTTTAGCTTTATTTCCGCTATTTCAGCTATTTTACTTCTTTCTTCTATTTTCTATCTTTTGCACATTTTTCTGCTAATTTGAGCTATTTCTGCTTCTTATGGCTGCTTTCTTCTATATTCAGCTATTTGCTGCAATTTTAGRTAATGTTCAGCWGTTAGCAGCTAAAGTTAGCTGTTTTAGGGTAAATACACATTCTGGTGGCTATTTCAGCTTTGCTAAATTCAGCAAACTTGTGCACCTTATGCTTCCTTGTACTGCACATTTTGGCTGTTTTAGCTATTTTACAACAAATGGACACTTTTTATAATTTATGTTTTTCTCCTGCTGATTTGACATTTTTTTACACCTCTTTCACCATCTGGGTGCTAATTGCAACTTGAGTCTCCTACGTTTAGCATGTTTTTTTTGCTAATTTGACTTTTTTTTGCCATTTTAGCTATAAATATGCTAATTTCTGCTTTTTTGTGCTTCTTTCAGCTTTTCAAATTGAACTGTCATTATGCTATTAAACTTTCAGCAAGAAGCATTCACATTAGCATGCAGTTTCTCTAGTTATTATTTATTCTGTTTACATTTCAATAAGAATAAAATATGGGTTTTGAGCTGAAAAACAAAATAAAAAAGCTAAGGAGCTAAAAGTCTGACCCGAGATGATCTCTGTTTACCTTGAAACTCCTGGAGGACYGCGGGGGCTAACTGTAGCGTGTTAGCTCCACTGTGGTTCTTGTTTAATGAGTTCGGCTCAGCAGACTCTGGGGACCGGCGCTGAGCGGGTGCTGGAGGAGCCATGGTTTCAGGTGACGGGGACACGGCAGGAGAACTGGGGTCAGGGGATGGACACTGCGAAGGTGAAGCCGGTGGGCTGGGGTCAGGGGACGGACACTGTGAGGGCGAAGCAGGTGGGCTGGGGTCGGGGGACGGACACTGAGAGGGTGAAAGAGGCGGGCTGGGGTCAGGGGATGGTTGCTGGGTGGTAGTTGGAGACGGGCTACCCTCGGGAGACAAGGCGGGGCTCTTCCTGGAAGGTTTGGTTGCTGTAGTGAGGTGCTGACAGCGGGGGTCCTGGGGGATGGTCCTGTCTCTCTGAGAATACCTCCCTGAGCATAAACCTGTAGACAGTAAGTTTATTCAGATTATAATCTACATCCTTTAAAATGTTCTGTGATCATCATKACTTTATTTATAAAGCACATTTAAAAACAACAGTGTTGACCAAAGTGCTTCACAGACATGATACAATTAAAACTGTTAATAAACAAAACAAGTGTAAAGTTTCAATCSAGATTTAAAAGACTGAACAGACTCTGCAGCACAGATATCAAGAGAAGAGTTGTTCCTGAGTCTTGGGACCGCCACAACCCGGCCCCCTCTACGCTTCAGGGTTGCTCTTTAAATTTTTAGTTTTAGTGTCTTTGACTCCAAACAATAAGATGATTTTTTATTTGTGAAGCTGCAGCTGGTTGAGGCAGAGTGGACCGCTGAGCAACATTAATCATAAATTTTTCTGACTATTATTTGCACATGATACGACCTTCCTCCATTTGACCAAAAACATCTCTTATTTGAACCACGCTAACAAAACCCTAATGACCCTCTGGAGGGARGGGAGGGTGTTTCATACATAATCTCTGCTTTATACAACAAACRGTGAACTAACGTGGACGTCTCTTACAGCTGCAAACATAATGAGAAGGATTTGATGTACAGATGGTTAATTAAGCAGACAGACCTGTTATGGGGATAAGGACCCAGGGGATCTTCCACTCCTCCTCCTTCTCTGCATCATTAGCCGCTCTTTTCCTCCCCGGCTTGCCTTCTCTGCCCGGTGCACAGTGGTGATTTGTCTCCCCGCTGTGTGAACTGGGACTAAATCCCTCCGAACCACTACCGACGCTGCCCGCCGTGTGCTCCTACGAACAGAAACACAGAGTTTAATCTGTTGTAAATATGTAGCTAACCAGCTCTATTTGACTTAAACACAACTTTAATCTGAAGACGGGAAAACTCATAACTACTACCACGCCAAATGCTGACTGTCAGTCAAAGTAACGCCACGTGTGTGGAAAGAGTCATAAACGTAAACTTTAAGGTACCTCCAGCTCTTCCTGCTGCCTCAGGTCTACGTCACAGTTCGTGGGCAGACCCAGCTTTGTAGCCAGCCGGCCAAACGGACTCAACTCCTTCTGTCCTTCGTCTTGCACCTCACTTCGATTGGCAGTTTGGATGAGACCTGAAACATTGCAGGGGAAAAAAGAGCCCAGTTAACAAGAGAGACTCATCTGGTAGCCCTGAAACAGGAAGAAGTTAAAGAAACAAATAAATCAACATAAACAGAGTAAATTGTAATTTAAGAATTTGTACAAAGACATAGGGACAGGACTTTGTTCTACTTTTTTTTCTTCTCCTATTTTTCGATACAAAAGAGATAAATTTCCATGCCCTTTTTAACTTGAAATGTATTTAAATTAATTCTGAACGTTTGTTTAACCTGAAAAGTTCAGTTTTTAAAATAAATGTTGCTGAAACAGCAAGTTTCTCAGTGGATCTGTGCTCGACAATACAGCCTAGGTGGAGTAGTCGAACACAGATCCACTGATCCTTCAACACAGAGCATCTTCAGAAGACAAGTTGATAAATTTTAAAAATCTGTATTGTTCAATACAAGTGTGTATTGAACCTAAATCACTGCACTGAATGGTTCAGTAAGGGTACATGTATTGTTGCACCCCTAAAAAAATAAATAAATAAATAAATAAATAAATATATATGTTTTGTTTTGCTATTCTTTTAATGTTCGAAGTACAATGTAATTAAAAAAGACATGTTTTAGTTTCTCATCACCTTTTAACTGCACGATAAAACTGGCCATTGGTTCTGACCCGTCCTCCCTCAGATCCAAATCCTTCAGACCCAACGAGCCGATCACAGACATAAAAGAAAATGGAGYCGTCGGGACTTTGTTTCCTCCGACTAGACGTTAAAAACATTAAAAAACAAACAAACAAACAGGTGAAGTGGTCAGCTCGTTTTATTACAAAGACATAATGTTTACGCCCTCCTCACCTGGAACCCTGTCGCGTCGGTCCGTTTCCTGCGATGCTTTGAAGTACTTCAGGGCTCTCTTTGCCGATTCCTGTTCCATCTTTCTCTTCRTCTCCGGCGCTTTCGTCCCCTCGCCTTCCTCCCTCCTCACCTCCATTTCTGCGTTCCTCTTGCAGGTCATGATGAGATCGAACAGCTGCTGCATCTGAGAACAGAATGAAAATGAAGAAACTAGAGAAATGAACGCTATAATTATAGGATTATCATCATATATTCAAGTCAGGTTTTACCTTCTGTCTGTCTCTGTTGTCGCCTCTCGTCTCCACCTGGCCTCTGCTGCTGTTCCTGGTCCCCTGTGGTCGCTCGGGGCCGTAGTGAGCCAGCACCACCTGCTCTGCTTGTGACACTGACAGCAGGTAGGGGGCGGGGCTGGACAGGTAGGACTGCAGGTAGCTGTCCATGCTCACCCGGTGGTGTTTGGGCAGAGACAGCTTCCCCTCCTCGTCCAGTATGGGGTCGTACTCGGCTATGGCGTGCATCGGAACCTGCGGGGAGATAACGGGGGGTTCGCTGCGGATCATTTTGGAGTTACACCGGAGAGTGTGAGGAGGTTAGACGTTGGTCTTACGGTGCTGTCCTTCAAGCCACTGAGGTACTCCTTTATCTGGTGCTCCACGCCGGCTGAAAGGTTCGACGGGGGTTTGACTCTAACTTTTATCAGAGCCTGGTGCAAAGCTGGGATGAACTCTTTCAGTCGGTGCATCACCCGGGCGTCAGACTTTAATGACTTGGAGGGAGAAAAGGAGGGAGGGGACCCTACAGGGGGCAAACGACGGGTTAAATAAGGCGCAGAATAAACCAAAACCAATAAACACWTCAGGATTTCACTTACTGAACCCGGACACGTCTCTGGTTTCTGGGAAAACAAACAAGGCCTGCAGACACCTCTTCCAGGTTTCTCCTCGCTCTGCAAARACAAACAGTCTTTTTATGTGTGCCACTCCGTCACATTAACCTGTTATTTATCCACATTATCAACAAATAATGAACTGACACTTCCACTGAGCAAAATCAACAGAAGAGCAACYTTCAAAAATATGACTGAAACGATTCCTCGAATAACTCCAGTAATTCGATTACTAAAAATCCTCGAGGCAAATCATCTCTATCGATTACTCGATTAATCGGTAGATTAATCAATTACTAAAATAATTGTTAGCTGCAGCCCTAGTAATATTATAATATATTCATATAAAGAGCTTCAACAAAATCCTGCTAAATGGCAACCATCTTGAGTTGGGAGGCTAAGTGGGACCCATCCATCTGAAAACTAATAAAGTGTCTCACCAGAAGTTGTGGACATCTGAGCGCTGGACAGCAGGAAGAGAAATCCTCTATCTGTAAGCGGACTCACTAGAACCTGCAAAAGAATGACGAAAACTTGTGTTTGAGTGGGAAATGTGTACAAATACTAACAGATTACCAAATTAAAAGAAAGCTAGAGGAACGCACCACTCTCTTCGTCTCCAGCTCCTGCAGCAGTCTCTTCATGTTGATTGTGGACTGACTCTTGTCCACCACCTCCAGAAGACTGCAGTGATGACCGTCAGCCACAACTACACACAAAAACACAACTTTACACGTAACAGGAGTTTCTCCCTCAAACCTGTTGAGTCTTTAAACACAAACTACAAGTTTTATTTTGATAATTCCAGCAGCTACACAACCTGGCCTCACCTTCCTTGCTGCCYTTGTACAGATTATAGGACAGCAGGCCAGAGGGGAGGAGCCTGGTCACGTGATCGAATCTCATCAAAAACCCAACGTCCAACTTCTCTGGTCTGAAGGAGAGAATTTAACTTTGTATGAATGAGTATTAAAGTAACAACTACCAAAAGAAACAATAATATCTGAAGTGTTTAAAGAATCGATTGATACTCACAGCTTGTGAGGCAGAAAGCGGACGGAGCTGGACATTAGAGAAACGTGGGAAAGAACCCGGTGTTTTTTCACTAAATCTCCGGTCCACACTGGGAACTGAGCYCGCTCTGAAAACAAGAAAAGATGAGCGATTAACATAAAACAGGAACTTCTGATTTGGTCATAATTCAGTCTGTGAGGGACAAAAAAAAGTCAAGTTTCTCACCATTGCCCCTCTCAGACAGCTGACTGTTCAACCTGCCAACGAGACAGAGCAAAACAGCAATGAATGAATGAATGAATTCGGGGTTTTACTCAAATAAAACAATAATGTGGTGGGAATTTTGTAAAAGAATTTTAAAAATTAGAGCTTGTGGGCACAACGCTCCAGCTTAAACTGAAATAAGTTCAATTAAGATGAATTAAATTGTAAGAAAATACGTGAACTTCTGCGTGTTTAACACCACTCWTTAGTACCTGACGGGTGCAGCAGGTTTGCTGGGAAGTGGAGCGTCTTTTCCTTTAAAGTGGAAGGAAACYACGGCGTACGGACACACTTGTCGGGGGCGCTGCTGCGGCTCGGCGAACAAATACTCGTAGAAGTATTGCTGAGGAAAAGAGCGTCAGCGTTAGAAAACAGCTTGGTCCGGCGCTGACAGCAGCGGTGTTTGAATAATCTCACCTGCGTGTACTCAAAGGCGCAGTGGCAGGTGAGCGAGGTCACCTTGCTGGCGTTTTTGGACACGTGGCTGTCGAAGCGAGGRGTCGGATCCTGAAGTGTCTTCGTGTTTTCAAAAACGCTCTTAACTTTTCCCTGAAACCAGAAAAACAAACATTTAAACCACTTATATCAAATATTAAATAAAAAAACAAAGACTAGTCATATGATGGAGAAATATGCACACAGAAACAGTATAATTATGGAAAAACACTTTTTGTTTTAAGACAGTAATTTATGACATTTTACTTTAATGATGCAGTTTTTCATGACACCGTTTGTCAGTAGAAAGAACGATCAGAGCCAGAACAAGACTTAGCTAACAGCTATCACTCTTTGTAAAATAAACGTTATTAGCTAGTAATGTCAAATATTTAGAGTGTATCACACGGATTTATTCAGATATATAGGAATGTTGTATGGATGACAGCGGTACAGTATGATCTAATCACTCTACCTAAAAACACAGCCTCTCTGCTGTTACAAATTACATCAAAAGTAGAGACTTCAAACTATCCAGCAGTTTTTAAATTGTGTCGACAGACCAAGTAAAACTGGAGTTATGATAAATAGTTTACATCACTTTTTTTCTGAAAATTGTCATCCTATTTGATGCGCGTTGAAGGAAACACGGAGATCTTGTGGAAAAAAACATCACAATCAGGCATTAGTTTTATTTTTCTCTCAAACTGAAGAAATATAAACCCCTCAACCTGCGCTCTGACCAAGTCCCACKGTTATGTGACAAACAGTAAAGAATCTAGATGAAGAAGAAAATAAAAAGAGGTGAATTTTGAATGGAGTTTGGCGGCGATGGAGAGCAGGACCGAGTAATTAGATCTGTGACATTTAACTTGTTTGAARTTTATAGTTAGGGTTTAGTTTAGAATGTTTAATCTTCAGTTTTAGAGTGTTTTAATTAAAATGAATGATTTTTTTTAACAAGGAGAAGCACTGGAGGTCTGCAGAGGACAGAACGACACAACCTGCCCGTCTGGTCTCAACATTTCTCTCCTCTCACTCTTGCAGTTGAAAAAAATTATTATTTTTTTACATGAGAAGTGCAGTCCTTTACAGCAACACCATTCACCATTCTTCCTATTTTTCCCCAAATCAAAACATCAGCTTCTATTTATAACACGGTCACGTGACAAAATACCAAAGAATACATGAAGCAACTTTACTTTTCCTTTAATCAGGTGATCCTGTTTCATGTTTAATAAATAGTTTCCACAACAAAGCCTAAATCACCTTTCATGTTAAATAAGAAATAAGATGACCTCACGCTCGTGTTGGRATTTCCTGTGACTTCAATCTTTTTATCTAATAGAAATGATGATGACTAAGACTGATTTACCTTCATCACCTTGAAGATAATGATCTCCCCCGTTGCTCCGGGGGTGAACGGGTTCGTCCGAAGCAGATCGGAGTACTTTGACAAATACACTCCTGGAAACACAAACTCACAGTTACTTAGATCAGATGAGGTTTTCTGCAGACTTCAAACATGCATTTTAATCTAAACGAGGATTTTAAATATATAAATAT